AAGTGGCTGTGTCTGGCTGCCAGCCCAGTGCCACCCCAGTGCTGGCCAAGGGAAACCACCACAGTTAGGTAACTTCCAGAGCTCCCTCCCAACCAGCACTTCTGTGATGCTATCAATGAATGCAGTGGGATTCTTGGTTCAGATACAGGATACTTAATGCTCTTCCCGTTCAACTGGGGCACCTGCCCCTTTCAGAGATGCCAAATGACATAACTTCAGATTCACTGAGAGAAATCCAAGAAAGATATTCCTAAAAGACACTCTTGTCATGGATAGGCCAACACTTTGCAGGAGTTTTCTTGAGGAGCTTAGAGGTAACCACTTAAAATCTAGCCAAAAAACTCTAGAAAGCCTGTTGGCCTTCTCAGCTCTACCCACGGCAGGTGGAAGTGGCAGGAGAGTGGCAAACTCATTGCCACTGCCTTGCCTGTGCCACTTACAAGCTGAATCCCTTGGGCCATGCAGAGACCCTTGAAATGAGGCTGCTGGAGCCCAAAGTTGCTACTGGGAATGGGACAGAGGCCAAGCAGCTTGAGGGCAGATTTTAGAAGTCAGTTTGGTATCTATGCATGTTCATTGGTACTTTCTGGGATTCTCTCTTTAAAATCTTGTGTCCTTCAACTGACTGAAAACATTTCTCTTCAGTTTTTGGTTACACAGCACATTTTTGACCAAGGCCCTAATGACTGGGAGTTGGCTTGTGAGCTGTTTGGCTCTTTGTCAGAAGGATAGTCCTGGCTTCCTCTGCTGTGTGCGGTTCTGCACCACTTTCCTGTAAGGTTTGTGTTCAATCAGTCTGGCTCCTGACCTGTTCAAACTGATGGAAAGAGTCATCTTCAAAAAGGCTTTGACTCCCCCATGTACAAATCCTCTTCTCTGTGAGTGAGGCAGATCTTTCTGGGTTACCCTTCTTTTGGGTGTGCAGAGCAACCTTTAGGCATCAGATGGAGAAGGCAAAGCACAAGCCTGGGCTGTCATTTGTGCAGTCCCCAAGGAAATTGGACGTGCACCACTACCCATTCCTTTCCCATGAAGGTCACTGCAGAGCAGAATGAGGTCTGTAGTGAAGGTTCATTATCTCATTGCACTTGGATTTCTCAACTCCAGACTTTCTGAACCCGCCAAACTTTTGAAAACGGTAAGAGAGGGGAAGGACAGACAGATCATAATTTCATCGTGGGCCCTTTTTAATCCAAAAATTATGCTTTCATCTTCTAACACAGATCTCCATTCTTTGGAACTTGGGTTAGGACAAGAAATAAGACAGATATTCTACTGCTGCTTACCAGGGTAATAATTACCAGAGCTATTGATCCTCCTGCTGCAGACCAAGGTAACTACAGTAAAGACAATGGTCAAAAAGAAATTTCTCTCTGTGATACAACATCACCCATCACAGTGCATTACATGGATGTTCACGTAATGAAACCAGGAAGGACTCCATCAAACAGCAATAACTTGATCTAGGTGTGCCAATAACGTGACCTGGGACAAAAACCAGTACAGGAAAAGCAAGACCCAGGCCATGTCTGTTCTGTGTGAGGGCAGCTGCTGCTCTGGGGAGCTGGTTAATGTGTTACATGTTGTTAAGGGGTTGAACTTTTGGCAGCTTCCCATCATGTCACTGTCCCTGTTTCTGTCAGGGTGAAGGTCAGATTATCTTAGACAACTTCATTGTCCAGTCACTCTGTGGCCCCTTTTCCTGGCATTAGCTCTGGTGGGACCCAGAATGGAGAGCACAGGAGAGCAGTGTGGGTGGAAAGGGAAGCTGTCCAGAGTTTGCATTCTCTGTTTTCAGATCCTGCCAGTAAGTGGGGGGGTTACACACTCCCACTCTTGTTTCCCAAACCGTAGCTCCATCTCCTGCTCCCAGTTAGAAGGAAATCAAACTGCTCCTGCTCCTCCAGCAGACCAGTATCGTGGAGGAAGCCCTGCCAGAAATGGAGGTCTTTATCCTCTGCTCTTAGCCCTTCTTTTCTTTAGCTACCACCTTTCCTCCCCTGTTGCCTGGCTGCCTTACCCCAAAAGAGAGACATCTCCATCCTGCTGGGCACCCTCCCCTCCCTCTTCCCCCTCAGCCCCTGGCCCTCTGCCCAGACTCAGAGCTGCTGGTTCCAGCTCCTCCTTACAGCCTCTCCCCACTTCCTGATGGGTCCTGGCCCCCAGCCCTTATCTCCTCCAGCCCCTGGGTTGTTTGCAGAGCAGAGTATAAAGGGGTTGACTCGAGGGAGAGCAGAGGGAGAGCAAAAGCAGCACCGGACCAGACTGGGTGTCTGCTTGACTCACCACGACCTGCTCTGCACCATGGGGAAGGACGGGCTGCTCAGCAAACCAAACATCTTCCTCCTTCTCCTCTTCTGCCTTCCTGGAAATACCTCTCCCACCGCAGAACCGTAAGCGATGCAGGGACAGGGGTCTCTGGGCAGGCAGGAGACCTGGGTTGTATTCCTGTGTCTGTTGCTTTGTTCTCTTCTGCTTACTTTGTTTTACCCAGGACTAAAGACACCAGGGCTGGGTAAAGTGTCTTCTATAAACAACAAACTCTAGTGCTTCAGGGGGACTCAAAACAGTCTGTGAAACCGAGATATCAGTAAAAGTTCAGGGGGAGTAAAAAAATAATAATAAAGAAAAAAAAAGAAAAAAGAGGGAAAGGTCTATGAGAAAACCTTTTGTTGCTTCAGAGAATTGTCAGCATTTCAACAAAATTTTCTGCACAAAATTGGTTCTTTGCTTAAAAAGCAACTTTTTTTGTAACTGCTTATACATTCAGCTTCTCTTAAGAGACAGATTTTCTTTAAAAGACAGTGAAAGGTTTCATTTTGGGTTGACTACCCTACTCACCGGTTGGAATGTCCAGGAGATGGGAGTGTTTTTTGACTGATAATGAAGGGGAAAAAAAAAATAAAAAGGAACAAATAACAGATCTGAAATGGCAGACTAGAAATGGCTTTATTTGGTAATTCACATTCTTCAGCTCAGTCAATGGAATGAAAATTCCCTTCTCAGCCAGGGTTCTGTGGCATTTTAGGACTGTGACTGTTCAGATCTGTGAGGGTATATTGTGCTGCATCTCTTCTTCACCCCCTTTTGCCCTCTTTGCATGTGAAGGGAGTGTGAGTTGTATGCATGTGTGTACCAGATCTATGACACGAGGGGTCCTGACATCCCAGATTCTCTCTCCTTTGGCTTTTTGACAATGTCTTTTCCTCTCCAGCAAAGCCAGGCTGTTCTGCAGCACTTTTATCAAATGTAGGGTACGCAGGCAGCAGGGTGCGGATCTGCGGGGCCAGAGCTTTCTCCCTGCAGACCAACTGATGGACATAAAGGTGTGAAGAATCTCTCCTACGCTAAAGGTGTTGCCCTACCTTAATACTGAGGTGTTGAGGACTCTTCTCAGTGATGCTCAGCAGAGGCCTGTCCTCACCCACTCAAAAAGCAGCACTGTTGCCATTAGGCAGTTCAAGTTTAATTTCCAGATGCAGTTTGATTCCCACCACCAGCACGTTGCTCCTCTGCTGGGATGGAGACTGGTTGAGCTGATCAGGGACCCCCTGCTTGGGCTGAGACAGAGGGACTTGTTTCCCTGAAAAGCTGGAATTCGGTGCAGTGTTTTTGCTGAAGATCTGGCACCACGCTGTGGCAGTTCTGGGTGAGGGATGAGTAGTGCTAACCAGGGTCTGCAGCCTGTATGTGGTTAATGGTGTTTATTTACTAGGTACCAGCACTTGTGTGGTTCCTGAATCCTACTAACAGTGTCTAGCAAAGGTGACAATCGACTTTTCCCCACTGGTGTTATTCAGGGTCCCAGGAGGACGTGCTGCTGTTGTGCCAGAACTTGGCAAAACAGATCCCCTCCAGATGTTTGCACTGAGGATTTCTGGTATTTTACTTTTGAGACTGACTTGTCTGCTTTCCCCTGCTGAAATCGTGTTACACTCCTAGAAAATGCACCTCTCTCCCTGCTCAGTGAAGGCTGCAGTCATCAGATTGGTTTATTTCCTCTTCCTGTACATCTCCTGTTACCTGTTCCTGCTCCTCTGACCTGTCCTCCCCTGTTCCTAGGCAGTATATGGTGCTCCTGCCCTTTCTGATAGACACTGATTCTCCTGAGAAAGTCTGCGTGCAGCTGACCCACCTGAATGAGTCTGTGACGTTGAGTGCCACACTCGAGTATCAAGGGGAAAACAGGAGCTTGATTGATGACGTGGTGTCGGAGAAGGACGTGTTCACCTGCATCCCTTTCTCTGTGAGTATCTCATCCTTGTGGGATGATCCCTTATGCCAAGGATAAACTGTAAGGGCACTGAACAGAGGAACACCATGTAGGTATTCACTTCCCTCTTGGCCAAAGGTATGTTCATGTCTATCCTCAACACCCTCTCACTGCTGAGATCTCCTTAGGATGGGAAACACTGAATCCTGGAGAGCCAGCCCTTCTCTAGGACAGGAGGAGAGGCCAGAAGAAAGAAGTGGTTTTAGTATTGAAGCTCCTGATGATGGCTGTTTGGTGAACAGCATCTTCAGCTGGCTCTCCACATTATCCTTCAACAGCCACATATTGTCACTTGAGTGCTTTCAAACGGAGGTAGAGTTTTTGGACCTCAGATACCTTTTTCCTTGTGGATATCGTATGCTGAATTCATGTGAGAACATAGAGCTGTTGTTGCCTGTGTCTGAAAAAGAGAGTGAAGCAGGAAATTAACAGCTTAGCATAACTGATAGCCCCAGGGACTATAACAAGTCATGGGCAAACAGGAAAGTTGGTCATCTGTCTCAGAGTACAGATTATGCCTTTGGCCTAAAGCTGAAGAAATGGCCTTCAGGACACTGAACAGATCGGCCTCCATGTCTGGGTTTGTTAGATATAGGCTGGAGATTTAATTTTGTCACTTGGAGAGTGGTGTATAAAGATCTGGCATGTCTGGTTTGGAAAAGGAAATGTTCTGCAAGGACTAGGGACATTATCTGAAGGAGAAGGGAGATTATTCCATTGCCCCTGTGAATGTCAAAAGGAAAAGGACAGAAAGATTTTGGTCAGGGCAGTAAGAATTTCTTAAAATTGGGTGGCAGAGATGGGAGTTCCTTTGCTGCACAATACTTGAACAATCACTGCACAGCAGTAGGAATGAGTAGGAACATGGGACAAGTAAAGATCAGTCTCTTGTTCCCGATTGTAGTTTCCCTCACCTCTGTGTCGGGTCCATCAGGATTATACTAGGTCTCTCATTTCATGAAGGCCAGTTCAGTTCAGGAAGCCTTTAGAGGTGGGTCAATAACGTAGTTGCTTTCTTACCCTCCAGGTCCCAAAATCAAATAGCCAGTCCCCAGTCACGTTTATCACTGTGAGGGTGAAGGGGGAGACACTGCAGTTCAAAAGCCGCAAGTCAGTGCTGGTCAAGAATTCCGAGAGCTTGGTCTTCGTCCAGACAGACAAACCCATCTACAAGCCCGGACAGACAGGTACCAGGGAAGGGGTGGAGTTTGCCTTTAAAACAAGATCTCATACTAAAACCAGTGGCCAGATGCTGACTGCTTTCACTGGGGGTCAGAGCAGCAACCTCATGGCTGAGGTGCATGTTTTTAATGTTCCATGTAGGAACAACTTGGGGAACCTTAAGATACATGTATGTCCTTGGCACATCTGCACACAGTCCCTCTGTCACTGGAGGCTCTGTTGTTGTGCTCCATGCAGTTAAGGTCTGCATTAAAATCAAAGAAAGATGGGATATTTGTCCTGTAGAGAACTGGACCAAAATTCAGACTAAGTCATGAAATAGCTTTTAAAGTGGCAGCTGATTTTCCTCAATAAAGATGGAGAAAACTATATAAGCCATTTATTTCTTCTGGGCCATTGATCTGGTGGTGTTTAGCCTGGAGAAAAGGAGGCTGAGTGGAGACCTTATGACTGTCTACAACTCCCTGAAAGGAGGCTGTAGCAAGGCAGGTGTGTGTCTCTTCTCCCAAGTAACTAGTGAGGGGACAAGAGGAAATGGCCTCAAGTTGCACCAAGGGAAGTTTAGATTGGATATCAGGAAAAATTTCTTCACTGAAAGGGTTCTCAGGCACTGGAACAGGCTGCCCAGGGCAGTGGTTGAGTCCCCATCCCTGGAGGGATTTAAAAGACAAGTAGATGAGGTGCTCAGAGATCTGGTTTAGTAGTGGACAGGTATGGTTGGACTCAATGATCTTAAAGGTCTTTTCCAACCAAACGATTCTATGATACTATGATTCTATGATCTCCTAAACTTGGTCTGGACAGAAACTAATGTCCTAAAAGAGACACTGAATTCTCTGTCCACCCAGAGCCAACACAAACTTGCAGCCAAGTGCTGAAATAAGTTGCTTGCATTCATCCTTCCTAGGAAGTCAGTCTAGTTATAACAAAATCTGAAGACCCACGTGAACCCCAATGTAAAAATGTATTCTTGCAGAGTAGACAAGGGAAACTTAAATTTAACTTTGGTCCAGTTAATGAGATTCTGGTGCCCATGATCAGTAAGATGTTCATACTGCCATGGATTTGCTCTTAACATCCACTTATTCATATAATTTCTTACTTGAGTAACCTTCTAGCATGACTTAGTTTTCTAGTGAATGGAATTTCTTTAGAAGAGAACAGCTCTGTTCTCTGTCGTACCATTTTTTTTTGCAACTGATGTTTTCTGGATGGTGACTGCACTGTGGAAGCTCACTGTCTGCCTTTCTCCATCAGTCCTGTTCAGAATTGTTTCTCTGGATAAAGACTTCCGTCCCTTGGACGAGGTGGTAAGTATGATACTTCCTTTTCACTAGTTATTTGGCCTTAAGTCATCTATATGGGGAAAGGGAGGAAATAAGTGTCTTTTGGGGAGAGTTCTCAGGACACTGAGATAGTTGTGCAACTCCTGGGTTACCGCAGATCTTGTTAACAGGGCCTCTTCTTCACATTTCTGCAGTCTTGGAAAGGTTTGACAAACTGCAAATGAACAGTGCTGGTGTGAACACCTCAGCAGTGAGCAAATCTGCATTATCACAGTGTGCACCTGCTCTTGCTAGTATTGCAGACCATACAGAGTTAGTAATTTCAGCTGACTTTTCTGCCTGAGACAGAGGATTTCCCCCCTCTCTTCATGTACCTCAAAATGCTCTGTTGCTCCATAGTAGGGACTTTCTTCCTTATCACATAAGGTGATCAGCTTGTTCCCTGCAACGTGGTCATAGCCCTGGGCATTTGACTGTGTTGATTGCACTATCTAAATGCTCATCCTAAACATACTATTTTTTTTCTTCTTTTTCTAGTTTCCACTGGTGTATATCGAGGTATGTACAAACATTCAATTCATGCTCACATCTATCACCCCTCAACCTGGACAGCGTAACTACCAGTTGCCTCGAGATGATTCTTGTCTATTTTATTTATTAAGCAGGTCCATAACATTAATTTGAATATACAGAACTTTAACTCATATGGTGGCAACTATGTACCCTGGGCCCAGGTTACAGCTCCTTCTATTGTCCAGCCCTGGGCTCCCCACCCAGCTCTGCTGGTGTCCCCCACTCCCACCTTGCAGCCTCCTGAAATACTGGGGCTGGGCCTCCCCTCAGTGTTTTTGCTAGTGCTTTTTTGTTCTCATTACAGACTCCCACTGTTCTCACAATCTCCTTGTGGTCTCCTTATCTGTAGGACCCAAAGAAAAACCGTCTGTACCAGTGGACAAAGGCAGAGTTAAAGAGGGGGTTAATCCAGCTGTTCTTCAACCTCACCTCTGAACCTATGCAAGGGACCTACACAGTGGTGGCACAGAAGGCTTCTGGGAAGACCATTCAGCATCCTTTCTCTGTGGAGGAGTACGGTAACTGTCACTGCAGTTTCGAGTTCCTAACAGCTAGTCCTGTGGGACATGAAAGCTTAATTGAACAGAGTGGTAGATCCAGGAGGTCCAGCATGGCTGGAAAAATTTCCCCTGTGTCCTCTCCCTCCCAAGAATCATCCCTTTCTGAGGAGTGAAGACTGAAGGACTTGAGTGACCCATCTCCACTCCTCCCTAAGCCCCATGCCGTGCAGTGCAGCCGAGTGCCCACCTCAGCACGGTTCCCATCAGGAGGAACAAGTGTGCTTGGATCAGTCTGCTCACAAGCCTCACCTCCTTTCAGAAGTGATTTAAGGCCACAGCTTCATCTCCAGTTGGCTACACACCTGTTAAGTGTCATGCTATGAGTCTGGGTCTCCCCTGAGGATCAAAGTCCTGACCTTTTGGTGTGGGCTGGGGCTGTCTGTAAATTCAGATCTTGCCTGTCCTTCCTCACAAGCTAAGCCTGTAGCTCATGTTACACCTCAGTGTTTTAACCTCTCCCTGGTACTCTCTCTAAGCCAGTTCCATCTGCTTGGATAGAAAATCGTATCCCAATACACAACTGCACATGGTGACAACCAGGATAGCCTCCCACCCCAGTGAGCCAGCCCTTCTTACATGGTCTGATGTGATCTGGCTCAGGCAGAAGAGATGAGACCTGGAAGATGAGTCTGGAAGTCTTTTGACTTCTTTCAATTGCACGACTGCCCTGAATCTCTCCTAGTTCTCCCAAGACACTCACCATCCACTTCCCCCACTTGCAGCTGGGTTTGGATGTGATGTCACCTTGTGCTAAGTCATCAGGGAAGCTATGAGGTCTCCTGCTTTGCAAATTGGAAAGACCTACATGCTCTGGTAGTCTGTGGGAGACCTGTATTGACTTGGCTCTCTGTTTTACTGTATCGTACTGCTGTGGGACTGATCACCTCTGTGTTATCTCAGAAGCTGCTGCATTTTACTACGTGGTGTTACAATCTTGTCATCTTACCTGGCACTGTGGTTGGCTGAATGCCTCTGGTTTTCACTGACTTCAGTGGGATATGCAGATGACAGAAGCCTCTAAAACCTGACCATTTAGAGGCAAAAGGCTTTCAGGACAATTGTAAGAATAGCCTTTGAGCAGCCTTCATGTCTCATTCTTATGTTATTCCCCACCACATAGATTGTTTTCCTTTGGTTCTGCTGCAGTGCTGCCAAAATTTGAAGTAACAGTGAAAATGCCCAAGGTGATCACCATTCTTGATGAGAATCTGAAGGTGACAGTTTGTGGTCTGTGAGTATCATTCTTTCAAGTTCTCCTTGGTTTCAGGTTTTTCTTCAGCTGCTGCTGAAAGTACAGTTGGGAGACTAAGATATGATACTTCATTTATTTCTCAATCATTTTGGACTCCCAGGACCAGACTACATCTACCATTAGAGTAAAGGCAACAATTATTGCTTGGGGCACTTTGTGTGTAACATGTAGAAACATACTGTTCTTCTAGGGGTTTTTTGAGAGGGGTTTTTTTGCATATTTTTTGAGTCATAGAAGATTTAAGACCAGCTGATGTGCTAGGAAAGAAGTTTTTATTTTAGCTTACCTGAGAAGGATGTTTTCACTGTGGCTTCTGCTCGTTGTTGCTGAGAGAAAACCCTACGTGATGCAGCTGCCCTCTTTGCTTTGGGCCACCTCATTCAATTCTGCATGGCATGGTCCACACATCCTGCAGGGAAAGCCATGACATGGGCTGAAGAACAAGCCAAAAAACCCAGAGCACATGCATAGACAAACCAGTTCCATCAGAATTGGGTGGTGGGGTAGACACTTGCAATGTGTTCTCCAAGGTGAGGAGTAGTCTGCACTAAATCAGCCTTGGGGTAAATGATTTCTGCAGACTTGTGTGTTATTCCCAGGGATGCAATCAGGACTCTACGATTCAGTGCTCCTGCCCTCGTTGCCAAGCTTGATCCTAAAATGTTACCAAATTTCTTTCTGCTTTTTATTTCCTGCCGTATCCTGGAGGCAGCTCTAGGGAAGGGTCCTGACTCTGCTGGGGATGAGCTAGTAATTTTTCTCCATCCCTCTTACATTCCTAATGGCTCTATTTTTCTTTCAATCCTCCCTGCTGGTAGATACACATTTGGGAAGCCTGTTCCTGGCCTCGTGAGCTTCCGTGTCTGCCGGAAGTTTGAACACACAGGCACCACCTGCTATGGTGAAGAGGCTAAGGCAGTGTGTGATGAGTTCTCTGGACAGGTCAGTCATGATAACTCTCATGAGCAGAGTGATAGGAGAAAGTGTGGTTTATTAAGCATGCCTTGTAAGCACTGGCTTGCTCTGACAAGCACGAGTGTGAAGAGAGGAGAGACTTCTTGTATTTTAAGGAAGCCTGAAGAAGAAGAGAAGATCAGGTGCATGATGAAATGTGAGGTAAAAGTAGGGGGAAGGACTGCACAGCACAAAAGATGTGTGTAAAGGCAAGAAACTGATGGAGAATGAGGAGAAGAAAGAAACAAAAAAAGGTCAGATGGAGCATAGAGTGTAAGAGAAAAGTGAGTCAGAAAAAGCATGAGCGATGCAAGCAGAGTTGGGGTTGGCTTACACTAGAGACAGTGTGTGGGATCAGAAGTTGGTGTTAGAACCAGGAAAGGAGCAGAAATCAGGGGAGAAGTGCTGCAGAAAGGAATATAGATTTAGCAGCAGTGGTTAAGACAGACAGAAAGAAACCCAACAAACCAACAACTTTTTTCACTCTTCAGACTGACAAGTCTACAAGAGTAAAAGTGAATGGTGTCTGGAGCATGGACAGGTGCAACAGTGCCAGCTTCATTGACCAGGAGCTGGGGTAGTAGCAACTGTGGAAATATGGAAGGGCAGGAAAGCAAGCAGAAGACTTGCTGATGGTCCTTGGGGTCTGCTACAGTGTGATCCCCACAAGTGCCTCTGCCACTGCTGTTATTAGCCATGCTGACAGAAAACACGAACACTGTGGTGCTAACCTCTGTTCCAGGCACCTCTTCCCTTTTCTGTGGAGCCTTGCCTGGTACATGAAGATGCTGAAGACAGGTTGCAAGCTTTGGAAATACTTTTCCAGCTGTCATTTTCTTTCTACACATACACAGGCTTTTGTTTATGTATCACTTATACACCTTGTGCATTTTAAGTCAGTAGCTATATTCTCATGTACGTGGTGCCTGGCAAACAATTCCTGTGTGGCATACACTTGAGTAATTCCCTATGCTTCTGTATCAAGAGTTTAGAATTTCAAACTTCACACAAAAATCTTCTAGGTTGCAAACTGTTTGCCCTGATGTTGCTGCAGATACTTCAAAATGCTCCTTGCCAAGTGATTTATGTGCTTTTCCAGTTTTGATCAAAACAACAAAAGGGAATATGAGGTTATGGGTTTCTCTCCCAGTTCAGGGTAACATACAGTGCTGGATTAATTAAATTGGATAAACATTACATAGATGAGACTATAATGGTCTTATTTGTTTTCCTCCAACAGACAGACAACTACGGCTGCATTTCTGAAGTGGTAAAGACCAAGTTATTCCAGCTCAAGAGAAGTGGGTATGAGAATAAGCTCCATGTGGAGGCTAAGATTAAAGAGGAGGAGACAGGTATGAATCATCTGGATTGATAAGCCATGTAATAAGCCCAGGAGAGACCAGCAGAGAGGCCTG